TTTTATTCATCTGTGAATGAGGGTTTTGCTCTGTGGGATCTAAGTATTTCCGTGCACAACTTGGTATAAACCATATTGCTGCTGTTTCTAAGTCCTCCACCAACTAAATTTTCGTGCTCAGCATTGTAGAGGCAGAAATAATCCTATTTGAGGGTTTCGTCTTTCCTTGATTTTTCTCTGATAGTTTACCAACCTTGTGTCTTTTAGCTGTTATATATACAAATTTAGAATTAAAATGTTTTATATTTTTTTCATGATTAACTTTTATTAGTGAATGATAAGTATTTAATCCTAGTAGCGGTTAAAAAGTGGAGGAGCCTTTTCTATTGAAATTACGTTTGTAAATGAAAGCAACAGTCTGTGAATATTCAGATGACTCCAACAAAGTCGGTCTTGCACTTTTTTTCTTAGTATTTCTCCGGCTTCTGTTCCCCCCACGAGCTCTTATTTTGCTGAATTTTGCGGTTAATTTGCTGGATATAGCCTGCCTTATTTAGAGTTCTAACTGGGTAAGAAAATTGCCTTTTCATTACAAGTGCCCAATTTTGGTCTCTAGTTGGAAGGTACTACATTCTGCAGAGAAAGGAAAACAGCATCCTTCCCACCCCGCCCCATTTTTGTGTTCCTGGGAAAAGAACCCATTCAGTACTGGTTTCCTAGTAGTGCTCACCCTAAATTGGTTCTGAACCGACATGAGTGTTTAGTGTTTAAAATAAGGTTTTGGGTGTGATACATCACTACAAAAAGTGCTAAATGTATTAAGAACTTTGCTGCCGACTGTATTTCTAACAATTATTTTACATTTGCAGAAATGTAGCACTTTTCCTCCAAATACGTAGGTGTAAGAAAAGGGGGAAAAGGTGCACCATGTTTTAAACTTGCAAATGAGTGATTTTTTTTTTTTGAAATCCAGATTCCCCAAAGGAAATTCACACACTTCTCAGCCTTTTACAAGCCAACACACTGACTGAAGATTGTCCACAGTTCCTAAGATTTAGCACATATACAAAAATAAAACTTTATAAATTAAATTTCGGTTTTTCCTTTTATTTATTAAAGATGTCTAAATGGAGGTGAAAGAAGTGTTTATAAATCGAGGAATTTGGCCCTTGTTTTTTGGGGTTTGTTTTGGCCCTCGTTTCGTGTATCTGCTGTATATTCACATCTGAGTTCAAAAATGGAGTTGTGATCTAATTGCTGGCTTAACAGTTCAGTTTAAAATCGAGACTCGGCAAAAACCCTCTGGTGTTTCAAAGTTCATTTAAGTATCAGAAGTGCAGCAGGTCGCATGTTTCCAGAGGAGTTCCAGAAGTGGAAGCTATTCTCCAGCAAATATCATCTGCTCTGCTTTTTAGTATCTGAAAAGTAAGTCTTTGTCGCAGTGTTCAAAGAAATAGGGCTTCCGCAGAAGCCTGCGTTGTGTTCTCCAAGTTGAGGTACTAAAAAGACTAGTGCCAGGGACCTAGCCCAAATTCGTATAGATTTCTGAAAAACAGAATCAGAAGACGACTACTGTTCTGCAGTTGGAACATTCCTTGGATTAAACCATTTGCATTTTAAGTATCTTGAGCTACACAGAATACACCTAATTGAGTGGAAATGTACACAGCCACCGATACTTTGAACTGCTTCGTTGTGACCTGACAATTTACAGGTAGGTAGGTTGGCAGTTAGGTTTTTATGATCTCTGTCCGTCCAAAGCTTCAAGGTGGGGATTCCATAAACAGCTTTAATAATTCCTTTAGGGATACAAAGTCTTCGGAAATTTCTTCAATCACACTTAAACTTCTGTCTATAGAACAAATTTCAGATCCATGTAAAAATCACTTGATTATCTTAAAGGCATTTCATTTAAACGTACAAGACTCCACAGAGTACAGTGGGAGTGCTTTTAACTGTCCCCTGGGAACGAGAGGTCCTCTCGTGCTCCATCAACGTAAGTGAGAACGTACCACACTCAGCCCGGCGTGCCCTCCTGTGAGGCGCACCACTAAGCCAAATGGCCGGCCTTCAGGGATAATAAGATAAGATGTGGGCAATCCCATCTCGTAATAATCTGTGGCAAGTACCTTCTTTTTGAAATATCCGGAAATAGGGGCGCCTGGGTGGCTTAGTCGGTTAAGCGTCCGATTTTCGCTTAGGTCATGATCTTGCGGTTCGTGGGTTCGAGCCCCGCGTCGGGCTCTGTGCTGACTGCCAGCTCAGAGCCTGGAGCCTGTTTCAGTCTGTGACTCCCTCTCCCTCTGACCCTCCCCTGCTCGCGCTGTCTCTCTCTCCCCCCCCTAGAAATAAATAAAACTTTAAAAAAATAGAAGTTTTTCGTTGTGTTGAGCTTTTCTCATGTGGCTTATTTTTCCAACAACCTGGCAGAGCATAGAATCCCCATTTTTATGCGTTCTGAGAAACGAAGTGGCCAGTTGACAAAGTTTATGAAGAGAAAGTCTGCCGGCACTGAACTTTTAGAGGAGTCGTGTGTCCGGGCCTCCAGGCTTCTTTTCAGGCGCACTGTCGTTTAGACACCAAGGCAACTTTCTGGCGCCACCGGTGGTCGCCGGCTGTCCTGGCCTCCCGCGTCTGTCAAGCACGCCCTGTGTTAGAGCAGGCGGCGCAGCCCGTCTCCCTGCCCTCCTCTCGACTCTCCCTCCCCAAAGGTGACGCGTGGTGGGGGGCACCTGCAAGAGGCTAAGAATCCTACTCGTTTTCTATTTTCTTTCAATCGTATCGATGTTGAAATACCCCAAATAGAGGCTCCGGATGCTTCCAGGGGTCCTTTGTCGGGATTCGCCCGCACGAGGATTTAGAAATGTGTTCTCCGAGTGTTGGCTGTAAGTCGCCCGCCATTCTGTCCAGTTCTCTGGTAATTCCCCACGGGTTAAGCCACTAGGTACACCCTTGAAATTCATAAGATAATTTGGGGTCTTAAAGCTGGTGTCTTAGGCAGAGAGAAGCATCGCATCATGAAGGTTCAGAATCCCCTCGCCTTCAGACCTAACTAACTACTGCCTGTACCGCTGCCGTTGGCAGGAAGACGCTTCTATTCACAGGGTGCCTAGGAAACAGGTCGACACTTAGGGCTCAGTGTGCTGAGGAAGAGCCCTTCGTAACCCATTTTCCTAAGGTCTCTATAGGTTCAGGATGTGTCCCTGACTGGTGGGGCGGGGGGGGGGGGTGGTGGCGGTATTTATTTAGAGAGAGCGCACACAAGCACGAAAGGGGCAGAGGATCCCAAGCAGACTCTGCACCATTAGTGCAGAGCCAACATGGGACTTGAACTCACAGTTTGTGAGTTCAGACACCCAGCCAACCTCACCATCCAGGCGCCCCATAGTTCTTGATGTTAAATTCGTGTGTTATGTTGGGTGGATAGGGAGACAGCTTTGTCAACCTGTGTGTTTTAAAACAGAAAGCTAGGGGCACCTGAGTGGCTCAGTCAGTTGAGCATCCAGCTCTTGATTTCAGCTCAGGTCATGGTCTCATGGTTCGTGGGATCCAGCCCCACAATAGACTCTGCACTGACCATGCACAGACTGCTTGGGATTCTCTCCATCCATGTTTCTCTCTCTCTCTCAAAAAATAAGCATGAAAAAAATGTTTTAATAAGTAAAGGGGCACCTGGGTGGGTGGCTCAGTTGGTGACGCGTCCCACTTCAGCTCAGGTCATGATCTCACAGTTTGTGAGTTTGAGCCCCACGTCGGGCTCTGTGCTGACACCTGGGAGCCTGGAGCCTGTTTCAGATTCTGTCTCCCTCTCTCTCTGCCCCTCCTGTTCACACTCAGTCTCTCAAAAATAAACAAACATTGAAAAAATTTTAAAAATAAAATCAGAAACCTAGATGATGACTGCTTAAATTTGGTGAGTACCTTTCCTTATTGAAAATATTAATTGGTAGTACCAATAATTAGTTCTTTCAGCCGTTTCTCTGAGTGTCTCCTTAATTAAGGACTTAGTATAAATCATTTCTCAGCAAAACAGGCCTATACAGCTTCCCAAAAGGCTGTTCTAACATACATTCCTTAAGAAGTCTGACTTAGTCAAAGACTAAGACCATGAATGTGCTAAAGATTTACAAGCTAAAGCTACTGAGTCAGTTTTAAATACCAAGCTCTTAGGGTGCAGTTAGCTTTCTCTTTTGCCCCAAAGTTGGGATTCCTAACTAAAAAGCAACATCCAAAAATTCAGATTTGCAATAAAATATGAACCGATTTGCCTTTCTAATATAGCCACCAACTGTGAGTTAGCAATTGTCACCAATAACATAAGTGCTAGATAAATTGGATGTTATTTGTTTAGCACATATTGATGGAGCATTAGACAGTTAAAATAGGCTTCCCGGGGCGCCTGGGTGGCTCCGTCGGTTCAGTGTCCAGCTCTGGCTCACGTCATGATCTCACAGCTTGTGAGTTCAAGCCCCTTGTCGGGCTCTGTGCTGACAGCTTGGAGCCAGGGGCCTGCTTCAGATTCTGTGTCTCCCTCTCTCTCCGCCCCTCCCTCCCTCGCTCACCCTCTCTTTCTCAAAATAAATACACATTTAAAAAATAAGAAATAGGCTTCTCACACTAAGGTTAGCAGACACTCCATTTGTACCGGGAAAAGAATCCAACAGACTGTTTCGGAAGGAGTGCAGACTGGAGAAGGGTGTAGTGTTGAAAATAGCTTACTTCCCGTGATAAAACAGAAATGGCTACAGGATGTCCCTCCTCTCATTTTGTTTTTGTCTCTGGAAAAGCACAGTGCCAAGTAATGGAGATAACACGTTTCCCAGGGCTTTTGAGCAGTAATAATTTATCAATATTCAATTCACACTTAAGCTTTTATTTGCTGTTCCACTGTGAAGTATGATGGGCAATAGTCATTACAAAACCAACATGAGGCTGAGAAGAGCCTGGTTTAACTCTAGAATGTTCGTATTGAATTGCTTTTTTTTTTTCCCCAAGTAAAGAATGAACTGAAAATAGAAGGCTAGGACCAGAGGAAGACATAAATAATGCCATACCTGAATCTCCAGCTAAATACTGAAGTACGGTGTTAGGTTGGTTTAAAAGCAGTTGTTAAAACGCGGTCTTCTAAATTTGACTAGTGAGTCTGAAAAGAAAAAGTAAGGTTGTTTTTTTTGTGTTTTGAATTTGTTCACCGGTGTATATATTACATCTGAAACGTGGTGCAACATTTTGTGTCTAGATTAAAAGAGGAAATATAGCTGCCTAAGATACTATATTATCCCATAATTTGGGGCGCCTGGGTGGCTCAGGCAGTTAGGCGTCCGACTTCGGCTCAGGTCATGATCTCATGTTCATGGGTTGAAGCCCCGCGTCGGGCTCTGTGCTGACAGCTCAGAGCCTGGAGCCTGCTTCGGATTCTGTGTCTCCCTCTCTGCCCCTCCCCTATTAGCACTCTGTATCTCAAAAATAAACATTTAAAACTTTTTTCTAATAATAAATAAAAATAAAAAGTTTGTTTATTCATATGAAACCCCACCACGGTAATTCTGACTAACAACACACCTCCTTAATAAAGCTTTCTGAAATGGTCTGAATTTAAACTGCACACTGATAGCCTCAGGGCAGGAATTATTCTCATTTGCATTTTACTCTGGTCTTCGGTAAAATGAGTTTTAATGAGACGTTAATTTTGCTGTCGCGATCACTCATGCTGAAAACAGGTCATGGGGTGCTGAAGATTACCATAAAGGAGAGGAGGGTGGGGATCAGAACGGACGTGTGAAGTGTACCTCTCACTCAAATGCATGTGTTTTTTTTAATGTTTGTATTTATTTTTGAGAGAAAAAGAGCGCACACACATTGGGGAGGGGGGGGGGGTGGACAGAGGATCAGAGGCAGGCTCCAGGCTCATTGTTAACAGCAGAGAGCCTGACACGGGGCTTGAACTCACAAACTACAAGATCATGACCTGAGCTGAAGTCAGATGCTTAACTGAGCCACTCTGGTGCCCATTCGAACACACATTCTTTTTTTGATAATGCCTTAATCTGCACTCTGTTCCAGTTGCTCTCAACTTGAGTATGGAGACTGGGTCCCAACTTGGTCTCTGGAAAGCTCTGGCCTCTGGTTGCCAAGTGCCCAGGTATGCATCATGTGTAAAGTCATGTGTGTTCAGTCTGGAGAAATGCTATTGTCAGGCACATCCTTGCTGGAGTTTTGCAGATGTACTCGTGACTTTTTTTTTTTTTTATTTTTTAAACGTTATTATTTATTACTGAGAGGCACAGAGAGACAGAGCATGAGCAGGGGAGGGGCAGAGAGAGGGGGAGACATAGAATCCAAAGCAGGCTCCAGGCTCTGAGCTGTCAGCACAGAGTCCAATGCGAGGCTCAAACTCACAGACTGTGAGATCATGACCTGGGCCAAAGACTGAGCCACCCAGGCGCCCCTAACTCGTGTCATGTCTTTTCTTAAAAAAGAAAAAAAAAAAAAAAGGCCAGCTTTCTTTACAGTCAATGCAACCAATAAAATCTCTCAGCTTAGAATTAAAATCGAACACTTAATAAGTATAGGACTGCCTATAAGTAAAATCACATGTTGAGCCTGGGTTAGCTGGATAGGCTGCTACAACCCAAAGAGTAGTTTGTCTGTATTGTCAGCTTTTTCGTTGCTTTTTCTTTCATACCTTACTCAGATTTTGAACATACATGTGTTTAAGGAATATAATTTTGTTCCACTCTGGCCACTTTGCTTTGGATTTGGTAGAATGAATTTTCACTGAAAATGATTGAACTCTTTGCTGTTCCAACACTCCTATAAATTTAACCTGGCTCCCCCCCTTTTTTTTTAAGATTAAAAAAAAATGTTTATTTTAAGAGAGAGAGAGCATGAGCAGGGGAGGGATAGAGAGAAAGAGAGAGAGGGACAGAGAATCCCAAGCAGGCTCTACACTGTCAGCACAGAGCCTGAGGTGGGGCTCAAACCTATGAACTGTGAGAGCCAACTGAGCCACCCAGGTGCCCCTTGTCCTCCTTTTTCTAATGCTATAAAGAACCAGAAAAACCTGCAGTGGCCCTTAGGAGAGGCCTGGAGCCAGACAAAAAGAGCAGGGACACTTGGCCCAGGTACCAGTAGACCATTAGGTCTCTGGCTCTGCACTTAGAGTACACTTTTCCTTGCGGATGAAGGTATAAACAAGTCACAGACTAAGAATTTTACACCGAGAAAAGGGCAACGTTCTCAACCTGCTATTTGCTCAAGTGTAGGCATGACATTGTTGGACATGTGACAGGTGTCCCAGCAATCCCGGGTAACCTCTGCTGAGTTGAGTGAAGAAACCTCACTGGCATGCTCATTCCAAATACAGTCCTGAAAGTCGGGGCTGGAGGACCCCTTTCTAGGCACAAGTTATGACCTGTTCCAAGCTGGATCTTAAATTTTCAAAGAAGAAAAACACAGCCCAGTCTTTGCGGTCATGATAGGAGCCAGGCATAAAGCATACTTGATAGAAAGCCATAGATGGTCATAAGATTTTTGTGGTTTTATTGGTTTTGGCTACCTGGTACCAAGCAGCAAAGAGGACTATTTAAATGTGCTTTTAGGAATGCCTGGGTAATTCAGTCAGTTAAGCATCCAACTCTTGATTTCGGCTCAGGTCATGATCTCATGGTTTGTGGGTTCAAGTCTCACATCCAGCTCTGCGCTGACAGTGAGGAGCCTGCTTGGGATTCTCTCTGCTCCCATCCCCATTCATGTTTGCTTTCTCTCAAAATAAACATTTTTTTTTAATTTTTTTTTAAGGTTTTTTTTTATTTATTTCTAGAGAGAGAGAGAGCGTGAGCAGGGGAGGGTCAGAGAGAGAGGGAGTCACAGACTGAAACAGGCTCCAGGCTCTGAGCTGGCAGTCAGCACAGAGCCCGACGCGGGGCTCGAACCCACGAACCGTGAGATCATGACCTAAGCGAAAGTCGGACGCCCAACCGACTAAGCCACCCAGGCGCCCCTCAAAATAAACATTTTGAAATAAATAAATAAACTTGCTTCCCTGTTTCACTGCTTACCACTTGATGGAGGATGGGGGTGACTGGCAAAAAATAATAATACAAAATAAGAAGAATGAAGCAAGGGGAGGAGAGGGCCAAGATGGCGGAACAGCATGGAAGGTTTTTGTTGTGTTTCGCATCCCTGAAATGTGGCCAGATCAACACTAACCCATCTTGCACACCTATAAAACTGATTTGAGAATTAACACAACAATCTGCACAACCTGAACCACAGAACCCAGCAGATATGCAGCGCAGAGAGGCGGTGCGAGGGAGAGAGAGGGCAGGGAGCTGTTTTTGCTTGCAGGGACAGGACAGAAACACGGAGAGTACGGGAAAACCAGCCCCCCCAAAAGCAGCTGGAGAGAAAAAGTAAAAGTGGAAACAGCCACGAGGGACTGAACAAAAAAGGGAGAGAGGAGAAATGAAAGGGTTTAAATTCCTTTAAGACTCTATAAACCGGGGGAGCACAGAGTCTGAAACTCTGCAGCTCGATGCCTGGTGGTGCTCTGGTGAGAAGGGCTAATCCCTGGGAGCAGACAGCAAGGTCTGAGGGGTCTGTGCGCCACATGGGGAGAGGCGGTATGGCCACCCCATAGGCAAAGGTCCCAGCGGATCCTGGAGAATGGCCACACTCGCTGGTGTTGGAACAAGGACATTAAAAGATGGTGGAGTCTGGCACTAGATGAGTGTTGTGATTTGCCATAAACCCTGAAATGCTGTTGCTACACAATCGCGTGAACTTTTTCTGGGGCAGGCTGGTTCCTGGACACTATCTCTGGGAATCAGCAGCAGCATGGTCTTCACAAACGTTCCTGGCAGCAGGCCAGCACCCAGCCATTGCTCAGCAAGACCCTGCCCCAGATGGTCAGAAAGGGTCAAAGCCATAGTCCCTGAGAAGCGAGGAGTTGGGAAACAGCCCCATCTGAGATAAAACTCAGGAGGGAGGTGCCGCCTGACAGCTTGGTCACAGTTCAGCGAGGAGTGGATGGAAGCCAGAGACAAGGAGGGGTGCATGACTGCCAGTCGGGGAGAGTACAGAGTTCTGATACTAGAGGCTGGGTAGCTGGGTGACACCATTTTCACCCCTCCTGCACATGCGCATGCATACACACCTACACGCACCACAGCAAGCCACCCCAGTAAGCTAAGCAGCACCATCTAGTGGAGAATGGAGCCATTACACTAAGCCCTGCCCACCCAACTGGGCAAAATGTACTCTTGATGACCACCACAAGCCTCTCTGCCTGCTTAGTTTATGGACTATAAAGTGCTCATAGTTTGACTTCTAAGGGAAACCAGATTTAATTTCAATCATATTTGATACTGTCTGCTGCTCCATCTATTCACCTTTTTTCTTTTCTTATTCTTGAATACAGAAATAAATTTTATTTTTATTTTCCATTTTCATTAAAGATTTTCCTTTAATTTTTTCCATTCTATTTTTTACATTTTTGTAAATTTTTAAAATTCTATTTTACTTTCATCATTTCATTTCATTCTTTTATCATATCCATTTTTTCAAATTTTCAAACGTTTTCCTTTTTTTCCTTTTCTTCCTTTTCTTATCGTCCCTTTTTTTCTCTATCAAGTTTTTTTTCAACAACCAGACCAAAACACACCTAGGAACTAGCATCCTGTATCTGATTTTTCTGTGTTGTTTTTAATTTAATTTTTTTTACTTTATTAATTCCTTTTCTTCCCTCAAAATGATGAAATGAAATTACCCCAAAAGAAAGAACAGGAAGAAATGACAGCCAGGGATTTAATCAACACAAATACAACAGGATGTCTGAACCAGAATTTAGAATCACGATAATAAGAAGGCTAGCTAGGGTTGAAAACACAGAAGAATCCCTTTCTGTGGAGATAAAAGAAACAAAAGTTAGTCCGGATGAACTAAAAAACACTATAACTGAGCTGCAAACTCAGAATGTATGCCATGGCGGCGAGGATGGATGAAGCAGAGCAGTGAATCAGCGACATAGAGGGCAAACTTATGGAGAATAATGAAGCATAAAAAAAGAGAGAGACTAAGGCAAAAGAGCATGAAATAAGAATTAGAGAATTCAGTGACTCATTAAAAAGGAGTAACATCAGA